GAAGACGGTGCAGGTGGCGCGGCAGCGTCGGATGCTTCCGTGATGGCCTTGGCTCGCTGAAGTGAGCGGCGGAGCCTGGCCATTGCGGGGCTGTGGAGGGGGTCCGACACTTCCATGTCATCCCACACCTGCTGGTGCTCAGCGGAGCAAAGAACATCAAGCTCGGATATGCTGGAATATGCGAAAGCGAAGTCGGGGATTGACAAAATCCCCAAGGTTTGAACCGCGTTGCTGAGCGGAGCAGGGACTTGCATGGAGTCAAAGAGACCTTGCAGAGCTTCCACGGAGTCAACGGCAGAAGCGTCTGCCATCTGAGAAAAGGGAGCAAGCAGAGAAGCAGGGCTATCTGAGCAAAAAACGGCTGCGGGCGAGACGGTTAAGTGCAGAAAGCAGCAGGGCAAGGGCGAAACAGGCCATGGCGCACGTCACGACCTTGGTGCGGGGCAGACATGCTTGTGCGTGACAGGAAGGCACCGAAGTGAACATGTAGAGCCTTTTTTCTGTTCATGTATGGCCGGCGCGGCGAGACACGCAGGCCTTGCGTCTACAAAAAGGAGGCGGCGGGGCCTCTGCTGTGAAAGATGCTGTGCCGAGTGCCAGGCCGCACGCGGTGCGGAGTGTGCCTGATGCGTCGGGCGGGGCCAGGCAATGCCAGCAGCTCCAAGGGCCCGTGCACGCGAAGAGGGGCAAATCGTTTTGGTCTATGGCGGCAGATGCGATGGAAGAGGACACAGAAGAAACCTCGGCTTCTGATGAAGAGCTTTGCGTGCGGCGCAAGGCAGCGCGCCGCACCATGGCCGCTTCCACGTCCGAACCATCAGAAATGGGATCGTCCGGAGAGAACTGTTCTATGGGATCCTCCCCAGCAGCTGTGAGCGGCGTGTCTTCAGGTGTGCTTGGCCTTGCGCACGATGGTTCCGTGTCCTGGTGCCGCGAATGCAGTGCTTCGTGGCGCGTTGTGAAGGCTGACCACGGGCCCGACAGCAAGTCTTTGCTGTGCAGGGATTGCAAGGGGGGAGTGCCGGGCAGTGCAAAAGGGGGCTCCGGTATGGGAGCCTGGCCGCCTCTGGCCATGCTGCGGCTGGGGCGCCAGCCTTCGCCCATGGCGACGGCAATGCTGTGTTGAGCGTCGAGACTATCGAATGTATCATTTCTGCTGTAGAGGGCAGCACTGTCCCTATGATGGCCCGCTGACAGGCGCATGTCTTTGCGAAGGCGGCGCTGTGCGGCTGCCGCGAGAAGCGTGCTTTTCATGCTACGCAAAGTCAGTTGCTGTGCTTCGGCCGGTGTGAGGCCAGTCTGCTTGGCCTCCCAAGGCAGGGTGGCTGCCCAGCGGAGGCAAAGCATTGCGGTGCAGTATGACGCCGGGGCAAGTTGTTGCAATGCGTGGCTGTCCATGGCTGTATTGACCCAGAGGAAGTCGGGATCACCCTCACTGCCTGTGAATGGTGTGCACGCGCGTTGCAGGGCAGACAACCAATGCAGTGGCCAGCACGATGAAAGATCTCGGCCGGTGAGGCCTGCAATAGTCACAGCGAAGGGTTGCCCCTGTGAGGTGGTCTTTGTCGCAAAGCACACCCCCAGCAATGCGGTGGACGTTAAAGAGAGCGATGCGAAGTCCACTCTCTGGATGTCTCCAAAGCGAAGGCAGGCGTGAATTGCAAGGAGAGCTGCACCCAACACAAGTGTAGTGCAAATCGGGGTCGATGCGTTGCAAACATGTCGCTCCCAGGCAGCGACCAAAGCCCAAGGTATGGGCAGCGCTTCTCTCCTATCTTTGGATGTGCCTTGTGTTGCGTAGGCCGATATGACAGGGCTATGCATGTGGATGGATAAAGCGTTCCATTGCGCGTGTCTGTGGAACCAACGCAGTGCTTTGATCGCCGAGGCCGCGCTTATGCGGTGGATTTCGAGGTCCTGCTTATGCGATGCTCGGGCCGCGGCAAGGTAGTCCAAGACTGCCGCAAGGGACACTTGTGCGAATTGGATTCCCATGCTATCGAGAAAGCCCATGAATTGCGATGCGATGCGAAGGTAGCGTTCTAGAGTGCCCGGAGCGAATTTTCGGATTACTGCAAGCATATGCTGCGAGGACTCTTTGGAGGGCAGTAGGGATTGCAGGAGCAGGGAGGCCATGCCGAGGCGCATGAGCAGCTGGGACCAGTGCGTGCCGCATTGCTGCATCCTGACCTCCAGTGATCTGCGGGTGCGCTGCAGCTTAACAGGCCGAGGCCGCGGCGTACGGAGCACAGGCTGAAGCAGCGGTGCGGAGGGAGTATGCGTTGTGATCGGGGCCGCAGGGCCAGGGCTTGCGCTGGATGCTGTGCTTGTTGTCTGCGGTGGTCTGAGGCTTGTTGGCTTGCTCTTGGGCGGCGGGGGAGGCAAGCCCCCAAGATGCAGGGGAGGAGGTGACCGGGAGCGCCTGGGGGCGCCTGGTATCCTAAAGGCTTCGGCCGAAGACAGGCTATGTGGGTATGCAATGACTCTGCATGGCGAGGCTTTGGCTGTGGCTGGAGGCACTGCTAGGTCCGCCACAGTAGGCAAGGAGCCATGCGAATGTGCTTTGGCTCTAAGTTTGCGTTC